TTCTGATGCAAAACGATTTGAAAGTCTCGGACGAAAAAGTAAAAGCTGTAGTTGATGTTCGTCCACCAAAAGACGCATCACAAAGGAGGAGTTTTCTTGGATTAGCCAAATTCTGTGCTAAGTTTGTGCGCCATTTTGCTAGCATAACTGCTCCACTTTGAGACCTTACGAGACAAAATGCTGATTGGAAATGGGAAGAAGAGGAACAATATGCCTTTGATAGACTTAAAAAAGGGACTAATTGAAGTGCCAATCATGGCATACCACCATGTTGAATTCCCAACAAGAATCAAAAGTGATGCTTCTCCCATTGGCTTGGGTGCAACAACAGCAGCCAAACGGGATCTGGAAACCAATATATTATGCTAGTAGGACGCTCACGATGAGTCCTGATACTCTCAATTTGAAAGAGAAGCGCTAGGGGTATTCTTGGCATGCAAAAAATTCAGTCTGTACCTCATTAGATGTGAATTTCAAAGCTCTGGTAAAGATACTATCACCTTCCTCGAATCCTCCTTTATCATATAGGGGTATTGACAGCTTAAATCAACCCGTACATTTTTTTACTTTACAAATGTGTAAGCAAACGAAAAACAAACAAGAGAAACAACACGAAAAACAAATTTTATAACAAGAACAATATTCATATTCATATTTAAGTATGTAATGATGTACAAGCATAGGGGCTACTTCCCTTTGACTGGAGTTAAAGTATTTACTAATCTAATATTTCTAGCTGAGATCATAGAAAGTTGAATGAACTTGTCACTCAAAATGTTTACTGTGAGAGGGTTAAAGGAATTCTGTAAAGCTGAAAATATGTTGATAAACTTTTAGCTTCAGAAGAGTTGAAGGAGTTCCATAATGTTTGTAATTAAGTTTCTGTTACTTGTAGTTGAATATTTGTAATATGTTGATGCTTGTAATGTTCTGTAATGTTCGAAATGTTTGTAATTAAGTTTCCGTACGTACGTGTATGTGTACTTGTGTGAATATGTTTTCATAGCGTCCGCCCGCAAGGGGTCGAAACACGATTTCTTTAACAGCTACATTTTTAGCAAGCGAGAGAAATCAAAAAGAAAGGAAGAACGAACTTGTCTGGTATTTATAATCAACGTAATTATGTGATAGGCTCCGAGAAGCATTTTTGATTTTGGGCGGAAAATGGTTTTGAATAACGCGTAGGCGAGAACATGATTTAAATATTAACTGACCCTATTTCAGAGGTAATGCATTTCAAGCAATCAAAGATGAACTCTGGACAGCAGGAAAGATGGTCATGCGAGGAAGCAGGATCATAATCACTGAGCACTTCAGGGACAGGTAGTTATATTGGCTCACGAGAGACAACAAGGCATTGTGCGAACTAAAATTTGCCTACAGTCCAAAGTTTGGTGCCGATAGAATGGCAGAAAATCAAGTAAAATTATATTATCCATGTCAAGTTGTTGGCAAAAATGCCAGAGACCAGAAGATCCAGAGAAGAGACACAGTATTGTCTAAAAATTTAAACAGAACCAATGAGCTGGACCCTCATTTCTAAACTCGGCCCTATGAAGTCATGGAAAAGAATGCCCAAGTGAAAAAGATTCCTGGTGACATGCAGTACAGCCTTGACTACACTGGCGTTCCTGGGCAGTCTATTTCTCTCCGATACAACCCACTGCCCCCCCTCAACGTCTGCAACAGACATCCTAGATACATACCCGAACACAATCGATGCACTTCCCACCTCCAATCCAGACACTGGTCGAGAACTAGTCTTAACTGCACCTACTAGTTCAATCTCGAATGAGATTTACCTCAGTTTGTCAAAAAGACTTAGATTTAAAAAAGAGGGAAGATGTAGTATCGGGTATCTCACATGAACGAGAAATAAAAACGTGAGCAGGATAAAAAACATTAGCAGCTGCAGCTAGCTAACGAAAACAGAACAAAAGTCTGTATGCTGCTCTCTCGGGTAGTTTGTAACATATTGATACTTACCGGGCGCATGGATCCGTCCCTGCGCCTAGTAGTATCACGGCTATGACTAGCATGGACCGGCTCTGACCAGCTTGGGCCAGCTAAGACCAGCGGCCCGAGTGAAGACACTTGGGTCCCCACGTTAAAAACCGATCTTGTGTCACAACCTGACTCGAAGAGGGTGTGGTGCAAGTAAATACATTCTACACATTATTCTTACGAATATTGTTTGTTAATAAACCCACCACGAAGCTACTGATGTGTTTATTATCGAATACCACAATATGACTCAGCATTTTTATGTTATTGCTTTCGCGGCAACGTTCGTGATTGGCTCCAATTTTGACATTTTTAAAAAACTTTTGGATTTGTTTTGTGAGCCAAACGTGATGTCTCCGGAGCCTCCGGAGTTTTTATCTCATATTTACGTAAGTTTATTTCAAAACAAATGTTGTCTAAAAACCAGAAAACTAGCAATGGAATAGGTATTCCGGAAGAACATACAAGAATAGTTTTATATTTACAACATTCAAAAAACTAATATAATTAACTAAAAATGCAATGTAATATTTATCAGTTACCAATTTAAATAAAAAAAATATGAAAACAATTTTTTATTGATAAATTTATAAGCATTTACTTATGTGAAACAACTATAAGGAAATCCTTATTATTTAAATTACTGAAAACAACGTCATTAGAGATTTCAACAATAACGTTGATTTATATATATATATATATATATATATATATATATATATATATATATATATATATATATATATTTGACATACACAATGTGATAATAAGTTGCTTGTTAAATGTGGCAAGTGAGATAAGGTTACAAAGATTGTCCATGCAGAAATTTAGTGAGTAAACGTTGATAGTTTAAGTTTGTTTGTGGAATTAAAATAGTTTGATATCTGCAAGGAAAATTGTCAGTTGTGTGTGTCAACTGCTAGTGTTTATTTAAGTTATGAAGCGTTGTTCGCCTTTAACTGATAGGCTAAAGTTGATTGAATGTACAGTTCCTGTTTTGTAGTGATAATGTCATTTTTCAGTAAATTGTAAGTTAAGTTTCTTCAAGCGGCAATAGTTGTGCGAGTTGTGTTGAGTTGTTGAGAGGTTGGTAGTGGTTATTGAGTCAGTGTGTTGGCACGCGTGGAGTCTGCTGGCATCTCTTGAAACTCAGTGTCTGACTAACTTGAATTAAGTCGAGCGATTCTTTTTATACATTTTCGAGTTCCCAAATAGGCTCCAGAGACCTGTGCGGGAAAAAGGTTTATCTCAACTTTGCTACATTTTTGTGTTCTTTTAACCAATGGGGGATTGAGTTTGGAAAAGTGAAAAGAAGTAACGGTTTATTTGGGAAAGAGTGCATCTTCCCGTAGTGGGTGTCAGGCAAATATGGAGGATTCCATAAATTCTTAAGAACAAAGCAAATGTATAAATTAACTTTCATATGTTTAGGTTTTATTACAATTTTAATCATCGCTTTTTAAAATTATAAAATTGCTGAGGAATGAAGGTAATTAAAAAAAAAGTGGAGTTGTGATGAAAATCATTTTGAGATTCCGTCTTATTGCAGGCATGTAGGTCCATGTTTGCCGGTATTCCTTTCCCGTCTTTCGAACTTGAACACCATTTATTGTTTCTAAAAGAAAACAGAAAATTGATTTACATGAATTATTGTTTCCTAAAAGAAAACAGAAATTTGAACTCATACAAGAACTGTTATACTGTTTTAAGGCGCACAAGGGACATTTTGCACAAGGTCTAAATGGTTTTGTTTCTGATGTTGTGAAAATGCTTTTTATTCTAATAAATGTTCGTTTCTTTTCAAATTTCACTTTCAGTAAGAGTCTTGACTTTTTTGTTATCGCCTCAGAAAATCTCTTGGAAAAAGATAAGAATAAGATCATTTGAACCTAATCTTTTCTCTTTAATTTTTAGCTTTACTTTCGTAACATTCACATCATGGCGACAAGTTTTGGTGGAGAGTGTACCAGAAAGAATTTGAAACAGAGTATAGCAACAGGATGAAGAATGTTATACTCTGCTTCAAATTAAACCTCTTTCTGGTTCATACCGAAAACTGTCGGCTGAATATAAACACTCTGAAAGCAAGATAAAAAAAATCGCTCTCTGCACAGAGGATTTGAACATAGCACTTGGTTCACAAAGCAAATACAACGAAATAAAATTTAAAAGGAACTAATTACGCAAAGCAGAAACATAACAAAAAAAGCTGAATCATGTATCCCTCCTAACTGCTCGAAAGGACCTGCTCAGCGACACTCAAAGCAGTTCACAGTGGCCACTTGGTCAACCGACCAGACGCAAGCTTCAACGCCAGGCCAGTACACAACCAACATTCCCTTCTTCGAGATCAAACTCTTCCTCCCAGAAGCGTCACATTACCCGTGTACAAGAGACATTCTACAACATTGATCCAATTCCAATGTATGCATTGATAAGATAGATAATAATCATTAATTTAATTCTACTCTTTGTTTTTTTTTTTGTTTTGTTTTGTTTGTTTTTGTCTGATTATACTTTTCGATACATTTCCGTGTTTGGAAGTAGTTTTTAAAACGATGGATGAAATAAAGTTTTCTTCTTTCCTCTTTGCTCATGGCCTGAAAGAAGTTTCAAGCCATAGACCTAGCTAGATTGATGATTTGCAGGAATGAACAGCATCAACCAATTTTTAACTATATGGCTGTTGTTGTAAAGTTACAAAAGATGTTGTTACTTGTCTTTCCAACTTAAATATATTTATTTACAAAATGTGGCACAAGGAGTTTAAAGGGGGAGTTCACGTAAGAATTTTACGTACGACCAGAATCCAAAATTAGACCAGACTCCTTGGCGCTTCTACTTTTGGGCCGCATCGAATAATGACCCAGTAACCTCAGTAAGAGGTTATTGCCTGAGGAGACGACCACAATGAGACTGCACTTACGTGCCTCTCAGCCTGAATTTCACATTTGAAAGATGAAGGTTGGAGTTATCTGCCCTTGTCTACAGTCAACATGGCGGCGACTTTCTGCTTCGGTCTTCGTTCGCTTATGACCCACACTCGAACTAAAACATTAAGGACTTCGAGGGTTACACAAGTGGCATCTTTTTATTCACGTCCGCCCATGAAATTGGGAAAAACCTTCAAGGAACAAATGGAAGGTAATGTACCCTACCTTTGTATAATTTACTTTCAAAACAAACTGCCCTACCTAATTCACTTTCAAAACAAATTGCATCTTCTTTCTTTTTTCACCTTTCCGACTTTAAAAGTTTTATCTAAATATTTTTACACTGCATAAAAATAAGGCAATTATTTTTATTGTACTTAGTGAAAATTTTCAAGAAATGTATTATTTTTAAATAGAGTGTGTCTGTATGTTTGGTACATAATTACGTCCCTGTAACAGGGACGTAATTCTTCTTAACTTGTATGATGTTAAAAAAATTATTCATTTATTTTCATGATTAAGTGAAATATTTTTTTTACAGTTTGCTACTGTTAGGAAATGTCAAATGTTAGATTTTTAGATTATTGTGAATTTAACTTGACGGATTTCGTTAAGTTAAATAATTCAATTTAACCATGAACAAATTTTAAAAGACCAAAAAAAGGTTTCTAATTTTTCAAGTTGAATAAGAAATCACTTTTTTAGTTTTTTAAGTATATTTATTTCAAACTTCAAACTCTGTGGTGTTTACATGAAGAAAGAATTGACTAAGTTATCACTGGAATTTACCTCCTTGTTGCATCTCAGGTTTGTTTTTGTTAGACGCGGCTTTTTATGAATCTTTGTGTGTAATGAAAGAAAACGAAGGTTATCTTTTTGGAATCTGGCCAAAGCTTTCGTAAAATAAATAAATAGTAGTTTAATTCATTAAAAATTCAATAAATAAGTAGTGATAAATTATAACAGAAAATTGCATTGTAAAAACTAAAAACCAACCCCTTTAACAGGGTTCTGGATCATCAGACTTTACTTGGAAGTAAAGTCTGATGATCCAGGCTTGTCTCAGGTAACACTAAAAAAGTGGTATACCCTGGAGAAAAAAGGCCCCCAAATCGATAAAAAAAATTTTAACGTGTAAATGTTTATGTTAAAATTAAAGAGGGAAGACCAAAGTATTTTTTGAATATTTTTTCAGATTTTTTAATCCTTCCTATAAATTTTTAAATTTTTTTTAAAGAATTCGTTTTTCTTGAATAAAAAAAAAATTAGTAAATTCGATTTATCGGCCATTTCTGGCCGAATTTGTAAACAAAAAATAAAAATTAGTTCAAAAATCAATTAAAATTCAATTACAACTTTTTTTTGTTATCTTAGGAAATTTAGAATGATTAAAGTATACTTAAATGTAATTTGAAAGAAACATTACTTACTTTTTTAGCAGAAAATTTTTTAATAGAGATATTTCCAACCGTGGTACTCGCGCGAGTGCGTGATTGAAGGGTGTTAATTGATGGGTGTCAATATATTGACAACTTACGTCAAGGGAATTTATCGTACGGTAGCGCAGAAGTGATGTAATTCGTTCTAATTTTAAGTGAACCTGGTTAGTAAATTAAAAAAAATAACTTTCAATTTTTTTTTTTTTAACCTTACGTTTGAAGAAAAATTTCTGCACTGAAAATAACATTTAAATTGTGAAAAAAAATCAAATTTTACAAGTAAAAATGAAACAGTAACAACATTTTTTTTAAATTGAGTTATACATATTTTATTTATTAACAAAATTAATATTGAAATGCTATGCAATCGATTTCAAATTTTGCTTTGTTGTTAACTGAATGAATGCAAAGTAATTTCTGAAGTAAAAAAAAATTGACTCTATCTAGGGAAACAACTCTACCTCACGTGACGTTATTTCAAAGTTGTGCATCCATACTTTCGTTGGAGACGATTTTAAATACAATTTTGGAATATTAAAAAATTATTTTAAAAATATTCACGGTTGTCAGATTTTAATAAGCTTTCAAATTTATGATCTATAAGAAGTAGAGAACATAACATGTCATTTCCATAAGGCTTTATAAAGAAACTTAATTTTAAAATATATAACAACATTTTGTCATATTGTGTATTTAAAATAAAAAAAAAAAAAAAAAAAATTATTGTAAAAATTCATTTTTCATCAATTTTTTTTTTTTTTTTTTCAGATAAAATTACCTTAGTATATGTTATTCAGAAAAGTCATAAAAGTTTTTAAATTAAATATTGTCTCAGTTTTATTGGGTTTTGTATTTCTACAATTGAGGTAAAAAGTTTGGACAATTTTGCGCATTTTTTTTTAAAAAAAAAATCGATGATTTAGAATCTTCAGAGTCTTGTGCATTTAATTGAAAAAACAAATTCAGGCTTTGAAAATAAATTTTGAAGTTTTCATAAAATTAAGTTCGAGGGGTGTAACAGATATAAAAAAATATATTTATACCATGACTTTCAAAAAAGACAAACCTTTCTAAAATAATTTCATTCATTTGTGAATAAGTTCTGAAAGTTTCATTAAAATCCAACAAGTACTTGATTTTTGCAAGATTTTCCAAATCAATGTGTTTTTTTTTTCAACTGAAAACAGGGAAAAACAAGTAATGTTAATATTACCTAATTTTTGACCTAAAAAAAAACAAGATTTTCAACCTAAATTTAAAAAATGCTGAAAATGAAAAAAAAATTTTTAAAAATAATTAAAAAATACCTTGGTCTTCCCTCTTTAATTTTAACATATACATTTACACATTAAATTTTTTTTTATCAATTTGAGGTCCTTTTTTTCTCCAGGGTATACCACTTTTTTAGCGTTACCTGGGACAACCCTCCAGAACCCTGTTAGGGGTTATGGTGAAATAGCTTATTACATGGAATCTTAACGTGGTCTGTTTTTTATTCAAACATATCTGCTCTGAATTTTACATTGAGCTCTCTGGATATCATCCTCCTCGGGTCTAACCATACGGATTACCTAAGTTTGCATAAACTATATATATATATATATATATATATATATATATATATATATAATATATCCCCCCAACTAATTTTATGAAAACGCTATAAAAAGCACAAGGCTTTGTGGAATGCAAATCATGTTTTTTTTTTTTGTTTTTAATTGGACCCCCCCTATCTGAAAATCAGCTCTGAATTGTAACATAATAAACAAATATATTATTTAATTTCAAATGCTTTTATTTGCTTTTAGTTGTTTTTATGAATATGGATGATATTTTCTGAAAGTAAAAAAATTTTTCGATGAAAAATGAATTTTTAATACAATTATTTGTTTGTTTTTTTTTTTGTTTTTTTTTTTAATTATAATAGATTTTTACATTAAAGTTGTTAAAATATTATAAAATTAGTTAAAAGCCGCATCGGGTTTGCTAAGTGTCCTTATGAGATAGATCTTTTTTTTAGCGCGTTGTAAATTGTATCATTTTGATTAATCAGAAAACCCGCAGTAATTAAGAAATGTAATTTTGCATTTAGAATACAATTAAGTTGTGTTATTTGAGTTAAGCATTGTTCTCCGCTGTTAAGGCCTATACTTTTGCGAAACACGTGTGGAGAAGTTAATTTGATTTTTCAATTTCAACTGAGAAGGGTACCTATAAGTATCAGTATCATCTTATGAAATTTATATGATCTTATTTTTATATTAATCTCAGTTATGACATTTTTCCTTAAATGAAATATCAAAATTAATAATAAAATGAATGGAAATACAAATAACACAGTCAAATGTAATAAATGTACATAAAATTATAGTATTTTATGTACAATTCTGATAAAATTTCATAAGAAAGGTACCTATAAATTAATTAGATACATTTCTTATGAAATATGAAATTTAAATCTCACTCTTAACAGACTTATTTTAATTTCTTTATAATATATTTTCCATAATGCATCATAAACGTAAAGGTGAAAGCTAAGTACAAAAAACAAAAAAAATTAGAGCACTGAAAGTTTTCCTTAAAAATAACAAGGTAAATAATTTGTTCACTTAAATGTAAATGTAAGGTAAATATCTTGTTCACTTAAATGACACGCTAGGTGCGATTAAAAAATGCAAAAAAGATACCCCCAAAATATTTTGATCTTTCCTCATAATAATAACTTAAACATTTAGACAATAAAATTTGGTTTTCGTCAAGTTTGGCGTCTTTTTCTTCATGCTATGCTCTTTTTTTTTAGCAATCTCATGGAGGTACCTATAAAAACGGTTTGATTTTTTTTTTTTTTTTAATCTATAGTCATTTGGTGATTTACTAAAATTTAGACTAACTTTGTAACTTGGTAGGCTAATTTTAGCAAATTCAAAACTTCGCTAAAAAAGAGCATACCCTGATAAAAAAAGGCCTCAAACTTGATTGAACAATTTTTTATTGTGTAAAATGTTTATGTTATTATTAAGGAGAGAAACCAAAGTATTTTTTAAATATTTTTTTAATCCTTTCTAGCACATCTGACATTTTAGTTAAAAATCTTGTCTTTTTTTGAGTCAGCAAAATTTACATAAAAAAATCGATTACGTCAGCCCTTTTTGACAACTTTGTAAACAAAAGTGAAATTCTCCGTTTAGAAATCTTGTAAAGTTTGATTATACTTTTTCAAAAGTTATTTTAGGAAAATTTAAAAAATACTTAATGAAATTGGAAACAAACATTACTTAATTTTTTAGCAGAAAAAAAATTAGTTGGAAATAAGAGAAGCATGTCTAATCGTGGTGATCGGTTTTGGAGGTGTGAATTGACGTTTATGTCAATGTATTGACAACTAACGTCAAGGCAATTTATCAACGCAATATATAAGGCCAGACCCTTGCTATCAGGAGAAACAACTCTTAAAATATGGGACATTATTTCTGAACTGTGCCTTCATAGTTTTGCCGGAAATTTGTTAATACATTTTTTTGGCATATTAAAATATTATTTTAATAGAAATGCTTCACAGATTTTAATAAGCTTTCAAATTTAAGATCTGTAAAAATAGATCTTTTAATAAGAACATTTCCAGAGATACACATATTCAAACTTAATTTTAAAATATTTAACAGCTTTATCATATTTTGTATTTAAAATTGAAAAAAAAAAGAAAACAATTCTTGTAAAAAGTTATTTTTCTTCAAAAAATATTTTGGCTTCAAACAATGTGTTTAATATATATTATTCATAAAAGCTAGTAAAAGCTTTTTTTAATTAAATAATGTCTGTGTCTTATTGGGTTTTGTATTTCACAATTCAGAGCTAAAGTTTGGGTAGAAATGCTCCTCGATTTACAAAAATTGGAGATTTCTATTCTTCAAAGTCTTCTGCATTTAATTAAAAAATTACAAAAATACACATCTTCGAGTTTTAATAAAATTAAGTAAGGGGAGAGGACTACCTCCCGCAAAGCAAATTTGCTTGGCATGTCAGGTCCTGTTGAAAGATCCCAGGCAGATGTGCAGGGGAAAAAATTAAAAATAAAAAAGACCAAGAATTCAAACCAGCTTGAATTTATAAAATCGGAAGTCTCGGGTGAACGAGAAGTAAGACTCGTATGCAAATTTTAGTTTCCCCTGACGCAGGCATAAATAGCAAGTCTGGGAGGAAGACAAGTGAGAGCATATTGTTGGTATAATGGTGTACGTGTGTACTAACGAGACTGAGAGAATAAGAGGTCACTAGCGACAGCTCAGTTGGAGGACTGGACGAAAGCAAGCACTGTAATCCATTTCTGTTATCACAAATGATGGGCGAACAAGATGTAAAAAAAAAAAAAAATTTACCATGACTTTCTAAAAAAAACAAACATTTCTATGGCCTCCAATTTTCCTTGATTCTATTTCCACTTTTGGTAAATTCTGTTTTTACTTTTGGAAAATTTCATTTTTTTTCCATTTTTATAGTATTTTATGATTATTGCAATACAATATGCAATAATTATTAAAACTGAAAACAAAAACATAATTCAAAGTTTTATTGCATATAAAGAAATGCAAATATCTACAAATCTTTTTTTAAATGTTAAAATCCAAGTCCAAAAATAAATTATATGTAAAAATAAAACAATGTAGCATGACTAGACAATAAAACAATAGAATGTTATTGTGCATAATTATCTTTGGGGTATATAAAAATCACATTTAAAGTATCAACAGCAAATAACTTTAATCTCAATAATAAATATCTGAATAAAGTCAAACATTTTAAGACTAAAATTTTACAAAACAGTAATTAAAGCATAATAACTGAATCTTTGTAACAAAATGTCAAAAAACAAATTAGACATATTAATTCAAAATTTAAATAAAACAACTTATACCAACTTATACTGCTCAAATTTAAAATTGCTAATTTCTTAATTTGGAAAATATCTAATCTCTAAATCTCCATTGTAATACAACATTGTGAGTTGCTTGGTGTTCTCACTTTCACATTGTTTATTGAGAAAATGAACATTCAGCATCTATATTGGTAACAGGCATCCATATGACCTGATTAGCAATCTGTTCCAGAAGAGGAAATCTGCTCTTATTTGCATTCCAAAATGGTGGGATATTAAAAGGATTTGGTAAATCATCTTGGTAATTCACATACATTTGGAATTCTTCAAAAAGATCAGTAGGACATTGAAAATCCTTGATGACTATAAAACTGTCTAAATTCTGGCCTATAGAGGGTAGCTGTCTAGGATCAAACAGTTGAGCTGCCTTGTAAAAGTTATACACAGATATTTAATCAGTTTCGAAAAAGATGTGCTGAAAAGTTTTGTAAATTTGAGATAACTCTCTCCCTCTCTATATTTTCTAGTTCAGACATGAGGATCAGTTTCTAGGCCAAATGTTGATTTTTGATGTACCAATATGCAAGTACTGTTTTACATCCTTCATTATGTTACATACAACACATGCAAGTAGAGACTTGGTTTCTTCTAAGTTTGTCAAAAGCTGTAATAAAATGAGTGCAGTTCTCATTTATAAAATTCTGATTTAGGTGCAAATTATGGTAAGAGGCATGATGTAATCAACCATCATCTACTAATTCTAGAATCTTATCTACTGCAAGGCCATGGCTCTTTTCTAGCTTATGAGTGATATTTGGCCACATTAAACCAGGAATTCCATCTGGTTGCCTCTGGTACAGGGAATAGTTTCACTTGTTTCTTAGGCAAGGAACTTTCAAGTATCGCTTTTTTCGATTAGGCTTTTTAAAAAGGGCTGACTTGATGAAAGTAGTGAGCTGGGTAATGTTATCAAATGCTGGCCAGTGTGAAAATACTTCATCAACAAGATTTAAAATATGTGCTAAGCACAACACATGGCAACTGTTAACAAAGACATTTGAAAACACTTCCTTATGAGCTTTTTTGCAATAGGCTGCAGAATCTTACAAAGGCAATAATATCCTCAAATGCATATCCACATGAGTTACAGCTCGGATTCATGCCTGACTTACAGTTTGCTGATTGCATTCTCACAACGTTACAACATTAATGAGAAATGTTTCCCCATGAATGCTTGCAATTACATTCAAAATGCTGTGATCATGACAGTTGTTTTGTCTATTATAATTCTGACTGATTGATTAACAAGCTTGGCTTTCAGGGTGGCAAAGTGACTAGCAAACAATTTTGGTAGATGATGTTGCTTAGCACAATTGACACTTGGAATAGCACCACCTTCTTTACAATGTTCTAATATGAATGGCCTCATTTTGTCAATTTTGTGTAGGTTAATGTCAGACAAAGTGCACATTCTCAAAAAAAATCAAGGACAAAATCATCTTGTATCTTTTTACTCTTCAACAGAGTTGTGATTGTCTTCTGTTTCAGTTGAACCAACTTTTTTGAAGACTTTTTTGTCAAATGAGTTTTTGATTTGATGTGATCTTTGATTTTGTCAAACCTAAAAATGTCAACACTGGAGATAGAATTTGCAAAATAACATTTTCTTCTGCATAAAAGTCACCAGGAAATTGCTCTACTCTGGCTTTAGCACAAATTTTAGATACTGTGGTCTTTTTTTTTAGAGGAGCAGAAGTTTATTCACTGTATTGGCTTGATTCAGTCATCTTGGCAATTTGTTGCTTATCCATGCAACTGATTTAGATTACAAAATATAAATAAAATATGAATTAAATAATCATTGATAGTTAATGTTATTAAAAGATTTTTTGTTCAATTTAAATTTGTTTACAATGGTGAAGTACTGAAGATGATGCAATTATTCATCAGGTAGAATTGCTGTGTGATAGATAAGCCAGTTGTTTCATAGAATGTTGTTTTTGGAGAATTGTTTTTCTTTATTTCTAAATTGTATGGTAGGCAAGTGATAGCATTTAAAGGAAATGAATTTGTTAAACTTATTGGTTTGACCTTTGTCTCTCTCTCCCCTCCAATTTTTACATCAACTAATGTCTGTCTTCCATTTCCACTTTAGCAATGGATCTCGGTGGCCATCACTGAGCTGTGACCTTTTGAATTTCATCTTGTTTGAAACATACAGTTTCTGAGAAAAGTTATAAAATATTTAAAAAAAACTAGCCAACATATTCTCAGAAAATCAACTACCTGCTTTTTTTATGTAAACATTTGTTCTTAATTATTTTTGGGGTTTTACAAGGAAAATAAGATTTTTTTTTTTTTTTTTTTTGCCAAATTATTGAACATACCTCTGCAAATTTGGTTGCAAGATGGGCTTGCTAAACATTACATTACATCATGGTAGGCACCCTTATGCATTAATGCATTTGTACAAATTTTAGTATTTTTTATGTATTATATACCAACATATTTTTTTAAACATTTCAATGATACCTCTTTTTTTTTTTCTTTTAAATGTCTGTAAATTACCATCACTAGTGGTACTGGAGTTTTCTGTTGCCATCTTCAATGTTTTTGAATTCAGTGTTGTCCTCCTAGACAGACTTACCTCTTCTGTTCTACCCAGAGTTTGATAGTTTAGAAGTAATGAATTCATTCTTTTGCAAGAGTATTAGTGTGAAAATGAATGCACCAGCCTTAACTAGAATTTGAACTCTATTTTCCACACTATTATGACACTTGCATATCCTGTATACTAAATACATGCTTTAAAACAAGCTAATAATCTAAAATAAATTCTTTTATTTAATTTAGAATTATCATTTGCTCAATAACAAATAAAAATTACTGTAGCCAATAACACAATTTTGAAAGTTAAAAAAATAAATCAACACATTTTTTTCTTTCAAAACAGTGTGAGCAGATGGAAAGAGGATGAAAGCTTTTGCATTAGTTTGGTATAAACACTAATTATAAACAATGCACTTTATTCTTATATTTTGTTCTTTCCAAGCTTTGAAATTAAATTTTCTGTTTGTCTTTATCTGAATTTTAAGAACACCTGAACTTTGGAAGTAACTGCTCTTTGTTTTATAAATAAAATCATTGAATCTTGTTTCATTTTGTAGAATTGAACAAAAAGGATCCTATATTAAATCCTGACATCTACATTGGCCTGCCAGTCTCAATAAAGAAAAAAATCTCAAATATGGAAAGAAAACTCTGGAAACATGATCGAAAACAATTGGAACAAGAATCACGTTTACAAAAATGTAAGTAATTTAGCTTTTCTTGATTTTTATCTTGTAACAGGAGGAATCTAAAGAAAACTAAATAAATCTGTCCGTATTTATCAATAATTGTAAAAACAACAAAGTATTGTCCATGGAATTTAACAAAGATTTTTTGTCTGCTAGGTCTTTAAATGTTTTGTCAAACGTGGACAAACCTGACCGCAATAAGACATAGTGTCAAAAGGATGTTTTTTTTTTCTCCCATGACATCCTTTAACTACCTTTACTTTTCAGTAATGATTATTGTTTTAAAAAGCAATAGTTAGAATTGTAATAAAACCCAAACATGATAGTGAATTTATACATTTTCTTTGTTTTTGAGAATTGACAACAAAAATAATAAACACTATTTATTATTTTATTTATTGGAATGGTTGGCAGAACATCAACTAATTGATTCAAACCTTATAAAATGATAAAGATTTCCTTATAGTTGGTTCAAATATTTTAATAATTTAGTAAATGTTTGTAAAATGGTAAATGATAAATGTTATATTGCAATAGTTCTAATTGTATTAATTTTCAGAATGTTGGAAATATAAAATTATTCTTATAAATAAACAATCTAATAAATAAATAGTGTTTAATATTTTTGTTGTAAATTTTCAAGAACAAAAAAAATGTATGAGTTCACGTTTATCATATGTTTAGGTTTTATTCCAGTTGTAATCATCACTTTTAAAACAATAAATATTGCCAAAGAGTGAAAGTAGTTACAGTCATTGATGATGACCAAATCAAAATACTGATTAAAAATAATTCAGGTCACATGACACTGTACATCTCGGAGATACTCCACATACCTCATATGAGCATTGTAAGATATTTGAAAACACTTTGATATGTGAATTGCTATGATTTTTGAGTGACTTACAATTTAATGGAAAAGAATTTAATGAACAACATTTCCATCTATGCTGCTTTGCTCAAATACAACTAAAAGAACCCATTTTTGAAAAGAATGGTCACAGGTGATAAAAAATGGATTGTTTGAAACAGGGTGGAACAAAAATGGTCCTGGAGAAAGCAAAACAAGTCACTATTAACCACAATGAAAGCCTGTCTACATTTGAAAAATGTGATGCTGTAGATTGCAAGGGCATTGTGCTTTATGAGCTTCTACCACAAAATCAGACATTGAATTTAGACAAGTTTTGTTCTTAATTGGACTGGTTAAAAATCGCAATCAATAAAAAGAATCCAGAATTGACCAATTGGAAGGCTGTCACCTTCTATCAGGACAATGCTGTATATTTTCAGAGCTGGCAGAAATTGGTAGAGCTGGGTTAGAATGTCCTGCTTACACCCTCTGTACTTGCTTGTTTTTGTACTTTTACAACATTTTTGATTCCTATAAAATTCTCATAGAGGAAGAATTTAAATTCTCTGGAAGTCTATAAAAAACACCTTGACCAGTTCATAACACAGAAAGATGTCAAGTTCCAGGAGGATGGAATTATAAGATGGTAAAAAGTAATGGAACAATATGGCACATATGTGGTTGAGTAAATCTATGTATGACTATCTAAATATTGTCCTTGAAATCCCCACTACAAACTTTTGTTCCAGCTTAATACATTAATCTTTTTGGTCCACTTTGTGTAATAGTTTTGCTTTTGAATATTTGTCTTCAGTGAATATTCCATTGGAGAAAGTCAATGAGGAATGGAAGAAAACAAACTGGAACAGAGACATGCACACAATTGCCAGACATTATGCCATTTTCCGAGATCTGTTTGATAATGCCACATTTTATCCCCAACCTTGTCTTCGTATATTTTATGATTATGATGAAGAGTTCCTCACTCCTGTTTATAATGGGAATAAAATCCTTCCTTCTGAGGTAAGTGATGATGTAATTTGAGTTTTGCTAAAACAATATTTTTCTGTTGAAATTTAGTTAATACTTTGAATTAATTTTAGAATGACATTATTTTCCATCTAAGTTTTGAATCAGTGTTTCAACTTTGTGGTTTCTTCAATTTTATTACTTTTACTGAAACAGATTAACACTTGTGTTTTCTGTCTTCAATTTGACAGCTGTGTGGACTGTATGTTAAAGGAAATCCAAATATTTTGTAGCTAAAATTTTTCTTTCCTTACTTGGTATGTAAGTAATATTAATGCCTAGAGTTAGGGATTCTTTTTAAGTTAATTTATATTTAATCAAAGCTTTTACCAATTTAGGCATTTTATTTGAAATAAAATCTCTAACTTTGTGACTTAATAACAAAAAGAAATTATTGAAATATCGAAAACTTATCATTTTATGCAAAAACATTTTTAATCAAATTACAAAGTAACAAAATAATTTTGTGTGTATTATTTTTTTTTTTTTTTTTTTTTTTGTGGGAATTTAAGCAAAACGTTTATTTTTGCTTTACACTTGCAATGTATAAAATTTTGACAGACATCATTTCAGCCAGAGGTTTTGGGATCATTGAGGTATGGCACTTTCTTATTACCAACAAGAAGTGTGATTAGAGTCAAGAATTACTTCACTCAGCATTGGTCAATTGTTGTAGATGATGTTTTGGAAAACTGTCATTCTGAATTATTTGATAAGATACCAAAGAATTTTTTGTACCACATTTTGTAATAATTTAATCGTTTCAATGTTGCATTTTCATTTATGACCAGAAACAAATAGCCACCGACTTAGAATTAAACTAGTGCAAGATACTAGAAGTGTTGTTGCATTGATTTATAACAGTATATAAAATTGTTGAGCAAGAAAATTTTATATATATATATATATATACACACACACACATTTCAACCAACTGCATTTCCTCTTTAGGCTGCTGTTCCTCCTTATGTAATGATTGATGTTTCTTCTGAAGAAAAAAACACTTTATGGACACTTGTGCTGTTATCACCTGATGGACATCTCCAAGATAACACATCAGAATATCTTCATTGGTTTGTGTAAGTCTATGTAATATATTCAAACAAGTTTTGTTAAAGATAAGAGGCAAATTGTATCTATGATTAAAAAATATTTCTTTTTAGTTGATGGTTTAATTAAATTAAACATATTTATATATCAAAATTGATTACTATTATATATATATATATATATATAAGTGAACATTGAAGTCAGCACTTCATACTAGATGCAATCGCCAGGCCACTGTGGCCTGACAATTGTGTCTAGCATGAAACAGCCTGTCGCCTCTAAGTGTTGACTTCAATGTTCACTTTTATATTTACACACGCTCTATCTCTGATATTGAGCACTTTATCCCATAAATATAGCACACCTTAAGAGTATATTTCTTCATATATATATAATTTTGCCCCAAGCGATTTGAAACAATCACTGAAAAACTGTATGTATCAAAGTTAGCCCCCTTTTTGCACATTTGCCAGTAAAAGTCCCCTATTCTTAATATGATAACAAAAAATATAAATTTTCTGTTCTTGTTGTTACCAAATTTAACTTCCTCTACTGTATCATTTTCAGTTTTGATTGGTTTGTTTTTTTTTATCATATATTTTTTGTTTTTCTACCACAAAGTTATGAGAAGTTTTGAAAAATGCTTTTCACTGAAAGACAATGACTTAATCCAATTAAGAAAATCCAATTAAACTTTCACATTTTCTTTAAGACTTCCAGTAAGCTTTTTTCTTCTTTTCTTCAGAGGAAATATTCCAGGTGGAGAAATTGGAAAAGGAGATGTGATTTGTGACTATTTGCAACCTTTTCCTGTAAAAGGCACAGGTTATCACAGATATGTATTCATACTCTATAAACAAGAGAAGAAATTAGATTTTAGCAAAGAATTAAGGTCACCTAAATGGTAAGTATCTCTATTATTTTCTTGTGCAAACAAATTAAAACATTTCTACTTTGCCTACTGGTTAATAATTGGAGACAAAATGGTAGATTTCTTATCTAAATATTTGATTTATTAATTTTTAAACTGTCAGAGCAGAAAGAGAAATTGGTTCCTATGAGATCCATAAAAATATAATCAAGATTATGTCTTTCTATTGTGGAGAGAAAAGAACAATTTCATTTGTTTATAAAACTGAAGTGCCACAATAAAATCAGCAGTACAGTGAATGGTTTTGCTTGCCCCTATTTTTAGAAATGAACTCAACCAAATGAATTTTTTTCTTCCAGTCTTGCCATTCTTGTTTACTTGGTTCTCATACTTTAACTGCTTCTTTTTGCAACACTTTGTATTCTTTTTTTTTCCTCGAGTCAAAGTTTTCAGTGGTTTAATATTTATCAAAACAAATTGCATAAATTATAGTGATAAAATTACCATGACGTCAGTAATAAGAACCAATTTATTGCTGTGTGACACTATTTAGCTATGGTAATTGGCTAATTAAGCATAGAAATTAAAACGAGAAATACTTAAGGCAAGAAAGAGCTATAACGAAAGACAGACTGAGTGACATTTTTTTTTTTTTTTTTTTAACAAAAAAAAATGAATGTGAAAAGATTTTATTTCATTTACGAGGAAAGATACTTTTTCACAGAAGACAGAAAATCCGTAAGAGATAACCAGATTTTGAATTTTGTCAGAATTAATTAATGTCATGATTAGATAGTGACGCAGCAAGGAAAACAGAATTCTAAAAAACAAACAAAGCTGCGCCACGCATGTGAACGCAGAGGAATTTCAGTGAGACCACCCTAAAAGAATAGCCACTAATTATCTTTCAGAGATATCATTTAGTTTTGGTTCTTGTGTCCAGCGAGGAGACTCATCTGTGTATGTCCAGAGAGTTGAGAAGGGGATCATTATTATTGTCAGATATGGTGACTCGAAAATGAGCATCTGGTGACATGAAAATTTTAAGACATGAGAAAAATAAAGAATTTGATTATCAAGTAAAAACTACCACCCAGTTAGAAGGTTGACTAGCAGTGATTAATGAGTTGGTGGAGATTCTGCTAAGTGGATTTTGGGTGGCTCAGGATAAGATAAAAATTTAATTATGGCCACGTGGGATTCATAAGAATTCTGGCTGATAGGAAAGAAAGGAAAGAGAATTTTTTTTTCTGGACGATAATTTTAAGAAGGCCAAATCTAGCCACACCCAAAGAAAGGAAGAATCTAGGAGGATAATTCTCCTCCGACATCTCCTCATGGACGAGGGAGAAAAACCCTGAAAGGGAAAGTGATTAGCTTCCAAAAATGGAAAGTAATAAATTTTCCTGTCCTGGGACAAAGAAAATTTTTGGTTGGGAATTAAGAATTGTAAAAGAACCCAAGCCACAACAGGCCCCAACCCGGTTTTGGTCAGTGTCTATATAAACGAACATCCCCGGTAGTCAGAGTTGAGTTGGGTTGGAGATCGGAGACACCGGTGGGTGTCACAGCTGTTGTTTACCAACAACCAGATATCAAAGGAAAACTGGGTAGCATGATCTTTAAATGAGCTTCTGTACATCAATGAAAGAATCTTTCTTTACCTACTTTGGTTATTTTCTTTTGAACAATATTCTAAGAATCGTATAGAAGACTCTGGGATATTTCTTTTTTTGTACTATTGGTTAAAAGCTATACAAATTTTTATTTTCAATATAAACATGGACTTAAAATATATTTTTTGTGTCTATTTATAATTAAGAACATTTAATATTTAAAATTGATTAAATCAAATATAATTAATGCAGGTTTATTACAATTTTTTATAAATTAAAGTTTAAGCTTTTTATTTTATTTTTAGTGTTGTTGGTGTGGTCTTAAATGTTTTGTGATGTCATTTGTTGGGGGAGGAAGTATGTTTAGCAGATTTTCATATCCATTGGAAATGGCATAGATTTTCATATTTTAGTAAAATAAAGGTTAGATTAGAATGTAGGTAGAGGTAAGCCCTGGATGGATACTAATATTTCTGTGGAGAAAGTTATCCCATGGTTATCTAAGAACTATAAATTATTCCTGGATCTGGCGATAGTATGTTACCTTGTGAAGATAATCATTGTTTGTAAATAGTATAGAAAAAGTAAAACCTACATACAAGTTAGGTACAAACACATATATTACTACAAAGATACTAATGAAAAAAAAATGAATTTCAAAATTTGAATTTTGAAATCAGTAAGTGTTAGAGAATTGTATAGATTACTAGCAGCATGGCCCGGCGTTGCCCGTGCTCGATTCAAAAATCGTACTTAAAATATTTTTGCCCTTTCTTGCCTTTTAAGGGGTGCCCTTTGCTGTGCTGATGTTGCTACATGCCTTCTTGCCTGTCTCACACTGCAAATTTTTTCTAAGCTCTATACTAATCATTAAATCTGTTATGAAAAAAGAACTAAACAAAATGAACACAAAACGATCAGCTTTAAAAAAGAACTTGTAACTGGAAAAACTGAATGAAAAAATAATGTTAACAACAAATACTTTTTCACACCTAACCCAGTTTCCTGAAATATTGAGACTGGTCATACTACTTGGGCGGGGTTGTTGTTGCCCTTGTTTTGTTACCCCGGTACTTTGGAAACCATACATTGATCCGATTTTAAGTTCAAATAAAAAGAGCTCAAAAGTTTTTAACAACGCGAAGTCAACTGCACAGAGTCCAAAATGAGGTGAAAAGCTTAGATGTACTGGGCCGCGTAATGCAGGCGAGACATTCAACTTAAAACCCCCAAAATCTGTATCACCTGAGAGTTAAACCGTTTTTTTTACAAAGTTTGGGTCCCAAATAAAAAATCGGGCTCCGGCATGACACAATGACGTAAATTGAAAAATCAGATCTGGGATGCGGCCTGGGAGAAAGAACAAAGTTTAAATAAGTGGGAAATGGACTCCTGAGGGCATGGTCAACACGGAGGTTTGTATCGAATTTTGAGTCACGACGGGGTCACACGGCATTCTATGCAAGACACCTCTAACTGGGCCGCGTAGGAATTTCTGGTTAAATTGTAAAGAACGGCCGATTTTTTAGAATGTAATCCGCCTAAATAATCAAGTACCAGCCGATTTACCAATTTTGAAAATCTATCTCCGTTACAAATTGACGCCGTAAATGTCGGAAGTTGAATCGACATTTGACGTTAATTGAAGCCTGGGCGTGAAAAGAAGTCAAAAACTGACAGCTGATGGCAGGGTTGAACCGGAGCTTTTTATCTATTTTTTTTTTTTTTTTTTTTTTTTTTTTTTTAGCTGCATGAAGGTGTCTCGCACAAATTTTTGAAAGGGCCTGTAATCTGGTCGGGGTCATTCATTTCTGTACATATGGTATGGTGATGAGGAGAAACAATTGATGCTTGTAACTATACATTAGTTGGCGATGTGTTCATTGCTTCTGTATGCGGTAAAGGGGAGCAAGTGCTTATCCCAAGGATGCATTTGTATCCATCAGATGCCGATGTACCCTTCATTTTCAGAAGATCCCCATTCCCATTCGCACCCTGTTTCGCTATGACAATTACTAAGGCCCAGGGACAAACACTGTCTGTCACTGGTGTACACTTAGAGGAGCAGTGCTTCTCATACGGCCAACTTTACGTAGCCTTCTCTTGAGTCGGCAGGCGCAATGACGTGTTCCTTTATTCACCCTCACAAAAAGCTGAAAATGTGGTCTACACTAAAGTCCTCAGCAAACTCCTTTCCATTTTTCCTTTCCATGCAAGAAAATTGTACATCAGTGACAGACAGCGTTTGTCCTTGGGCCTTATTAATTGTCATAGCAAAACAGGGTGCGACTGGGAATTGGGATCTTTTGAAAGTGAAGAGTACGTCGGCATCTGATGGATACAAATGCATCCTTGGGATAAGCACTTGCTCCCCTTTACCGCAGCCAGTTATAATTTTGGCCTCAATAATGTTTGGGTGTAGGGCCTGAATAACCATCCTGGTCCCATTACAGAGTTTCAGTGGACGCAGGTTTCTAAACAACATAACCGGGATCCCCACTTTAAGTTGCAGAATGTGAGGAGGGAGACCAGCGGGGTGGAGTCTGTTTAAGAACTCCACTAGAAAGTTCGTCATTTCAGCGGAGTCTGGAGTTCTGTCAATGGATTTGTAAACGTGCAACACCCCTAGCAGTTTCCAGAAGCTGTCTATTAAGGGTTGTCACAGTGGTGTTTTTGGGTGCAAGAATTGCCTGCCCAGCAAGCCACTCAATATTGTTGTAGTTGGTTTGAAGATCAGGAAAAACTGATTCCCTGAGTGTTGCTGGCGTTATGACCACTGTAGACAACCCTTGGACGTTTACAAATCCATTAGTTTCCACTGGAATAATACCTTCGCCAAGGGCTAATAATGAATTCGAAAATTCGGCGGACCTAACATCACCAATTAGGTGTGTATGCATGTTGGTGTTAAGGTGCGATGGTCTAACAGTGGACAAAATTTGTGACGATTTCAAGCACGCTCGAATAGTGTTGGCCTTTGTCTCCTTAGGTACAACGGGGAGGGTCTGGCGAAAGTCACCGGATAGAAGGACAGTTATACTTCCCATAAGGTCAACGGAGTTTCGAATATACTTCAGAGAGCGGTTTTCAGCCTCGGGTGCAGTTTTGGGACTGACAGTGCACTCATCCCAGCTTACATCGCCTGAGTACCTCCGTTAGACCTGATTGCTTGGTTATCTGCATACAGCTGTTTCTGCCTTAATCAGTTCAAGCGGAAGTTTAAACATTGAGTGAACTGTTCGGCCACCAGTGGCAGCAATGCTTGAAGACGCTACTGCTAACGCCACTTCGCCATGGCGCCGAATTTCTACAGGAAGCATTTTTGTTACAAACGTTTTTCCCATTCCCCCAGGCGCGTCCAGGAAGAAAATTGACCCTGTATCCTGCCTGGTGGATGCAAGAACCGCATCGTAAGCGGCCCTTTGGTCTATGAAAAGTTTGGCTCATTTGTTGTAACATAGAAGTTGAACTCAACAGAGTAGGATGTCTTCCGCACAATCTCAGGTGAGAGACTGGAGGAAGCCACATGATCTGGCGTTGGAAGCCCAATAGTGTCAAGAGATTCCCACCCTCATTTCAACAAAGAGGTTCTCAATGATTATGAGCGCCCTGTTGTAAATTTCATCGTTGAATGTAAGAGCCATTGTTGGATACAGCAGTTGCGCTTCTCTGAGTATGTCTTCGGACAAAAAGTCCTTGTATTTCTGCCAAAGTGATTTGGGATCACTGGGTTCGCACATTTGTAAGATTGTGGTGAAGAGGTGGCGCAAAGCAGAGGGCATTTTTGAAAGAGCACCCTCAGCCATTGTGGCATCCCACTCGCTGTCATCTTCCAAAAGGCCGATACGGAGGCAGGCCTCACGAAAATGTCACATAAAACTCCATTAACCGTCCGTAAGTTATTGTAGCTCGTTGGACCACTAACTTCGTGCAAAAGGAGTCGCAAGTAAAAACATTCCTGTCGTGATTTTTTTCAGTAAAGACGCGAATAAAGGAAGTGCTTATTTTGGTAAGATGCGACGATTAAAGCAAAAGTGTTGACAAAGTCGAATATGTCATTTTTAGCTCAAAGTCAGACCTGGTAGCAGGGATAAAAAAGCCGAATTTCATTGGCCCTGCAACCATTCCAGAATTTGAGGTCAAAGGTTTTCTTCCACTCCACTGTACGCACTGACCTGTTTCTTCCCGCGCATAGCGTGACCATAAATTAATCTGCATTTAGGAAATACCTAACCGGAAAAACATTTTTAAGGGTTGACCGCTTGTCGATGTGCACTCTGTTTTTGGGGCTCGCAGAGTTGAAACTTCACATGGTGACTCCCAATGGCCTCCTCATAAATCCGGTCGGTTTTCGCTAAAAACCGACATGCGGTTCAGGCGCAATCTGGGCGTATCGGTTTTGGGGTTTTATTGATTTTCCACGCTGTTTAGGGGTCCGTGGTCATGAAACTTCTGGACAACACTTCTAATGGTAGACTCTAAGAGGATGTCAAATTTGGTTGAAATGTGATCATTCCTTTTGTAAGTAGATTTTTTCGATTATCGATTTTTTTTTTTTTTTTTTTTTTTTTTTTTTTTGAGCCTGAGTCTGAAGTCAAAAATCGGGCTCCGTCATGTCCTTACGGCAGCCATTTGCATTTTTTGTGGTGAAGACCTCATCGAAATCGTGTGACAAATGCGGCCTGGGCGAGGTAACAAGGCCCACGACAGACACACAGACAACATGAGAAATATAGATAGTAGATTTCTTTTTCTATTCTATGACTAAAATTTCCTGCAATTATTTTTTTACAGTAAATCTCTGGAAGAGCGAACATTCAAGAATTTTAACTTTTATCAAAAGCATCAAGATGACCTTACTCCTGCTTCCTTGGCATTCTTCCAGTGTGAATGGGATAACAGTGTCACTCAAGTTTTCCATGATCTTCTTGGTAAGGCATTTAAAATATATCAAAAGTTTTCTTTATTTCTTAATTTTTGAAGAATTTTTAGTGTCATTTGCTATTTTGGGTTTTGCCTTATGTGTTCTTAATTTTCCACCCATGGTTGATTTTATGTACAAGTGCACTTTTGAAAATTTAAATTTTACTTTCATATATATATATATATTTATTTATATTTCAAGTGAAGATGCCTTATTTAAAAAAAAAACATTACAACTCTCAGGTTTAAATGCTACACCAAGCTGTCACTACAACATATAAATATTTGATTATTAGCAACGATAATCAAACTAAAATTATGTAACTGTAACAGAGCTCCATTTTTTTTATCTAGTTTTAAAACCTGACATATCTTTTGTTGTTGCTATAGTTTTTAAATTTATATACTATGCCAAAAAAAATCCTCTCTTTGTACATCATCATAAAAATAGAACTTGTGTGTAAAAGGTAATTTACTTTTGGGGATTCTTTTTACAATACAAAGCTACATACATTTCTCATTAATTTATGTAAATTATCTTTTTTCAGAAACTTTGATACAGCTCTTCAGTGTATTAATTGAATGGGTTTGGGGATGGGAATCATATTGTTTAACTCGGTGCACCATGAAATACTAAGTAAAATTTCAAATCTGCCATGACCCACTTTTAAAGCTTGTGTTTTATTTGAATTTTTTATTTTGTCCAAGCAATTCTCTGGCATCTTATGGCCTTAAATAAATTGCCTTCTATAATACTAGTAGAAATTATTCTATAGTGTGTCCCAACATTTTATGCAAATAAGAAATTTTACAATAATTATAAAAATAATAGAAAGTTACAGGTATCATCCACATGTCTAACATAATACCTGGGTCCTTCAATACAAACAAAAAAACAGATATATTTGCCATTATTGGCCCTAAAGAACAACCCATCACTATTCTATTTGCCTATACATCACCTTATTAAAGCTACAATCAACATCAACCCCATAAAGATGGCTTTGGGAGTCAAATGACTAGTGTACAGTGCATATGTGCAAATATCTATAGTTTCTTGCAACAGTACACAGGTGAACAAACTACTAATATTAGCACATAAACTTATCCTTAGTACTGAAGGGATAGTCCTGCAAATAGTTGGCAAAAGAAAATGAGTCTGGGGGTTTCCACAAAGTATTTGTGGAAAGGAGAACATTGGTGTCTTTCCTTTTCTCCATATCATGGTACATAGATCAAATACAGGATTTTTTGCATTAGTGTTTTGGAAACCAACTTTTATAGGTTTATATTCCTGGTAGGATTTCTTCTGTTCTAAATAGCAAAATATAAATATGATTAAAACCTTGTTTCATTGGGCCTTGGTCATATGCTCAGAAATGAATATAGATATAAATATATCAATTATCATTTTAATATTTTGGAATTAGTTTCAGCCATCTCCTTGCCTTTATTGCTCTAATAATAATTCCATCAAAGAAATGACATACAAAAACAAGCTGGATGTAACAACAAAGAAAAGTAATATCATTTACTGATATAATTTCCATTCTCCTTAATGACTTGAAGCAGCTTACTGTTAACAGAAGCTAATTTGACAATTTCTTTAAGGATACTAGCTTTGCAAACATCTAATATTGCTTAATCAAAGTTCATTTTAGGATACAAATTGCTTGCTGCTTTCATAAACACAACTTTTGACAATATGGCTCCACACTAACTTGTTTCATCATCATCCTAAAAATATCCCCAAATCATTTTTTTTAACTTTATCATTGTTAGTAGCATAAGAAAATACAACTAAAATTTTTAGGAAACAAATATTTTGATTCATTCAATCTATAATCTTTCATTTTAATGCAAGTAGTACAGGTTGGAACAAATAAAGATAAAATATTAAAGTTTTAAAAGGAATAAATACAAAAAAATTAGGTAAATTTTATTGTAAGCTTTATATAAATGGCTATTTTTATTTAAACATTTCGGTTAAATACCGTGAATAATTTTACACAAATGTACTTATTAATTTTCATGTTCAGAGTAACTTTTCTACTTTAATTTAAGAATTGTTTTATGCATGCATTTTTATATGAAGAATATTAATGCATTCCAACTATTCACAATTTAGTCTTTATTAAGATATTTTCATTTAACTGCCTCACATCATGACAAAATCTTCCATGTTTATCATTTTTTACGTTCAGTTTATGATGAACAGAAAACATAACACACTAATATTTTTGTCACTGGTTCATTCAAGTATTTTAATCAAAAATTTACAGAAATATTTTTTTGGTTTGTTTACTAAAGCAAAATTAGTTCTTGCAATTAGGTCCTAATGTTCTTCACATTTATAGAAAAGTAATACAAATATCTAAATTTATGTCCTTCAAACTTAATTTTTCATTTGGTTTAATTTTACATTTTAAAAAGAGGCTATTTTTTTGTTTGTGTCAACTCTATTAAAAGAAAACCCACCATTATTGGTGAGAAGTAATTTTTTTTATTATAAGAAATTAGTTATATTTATATATAGAATTTTAATTAAAAATTTAGTCTTGTCCTAAACTAATGTTCTATTGACTCTGTAACAATGAGCCCGGGTTTGTAATAAATTTTTTGACTTTAAAATGGTTGCTTGCAAGAGATTTGACAATTTCTAATGTTGTTTAATGATCATGAAGCATTTGAACAATTTTTGCTCAAACATGCTTTATGGCCCACATTACATAAAAATTGGAATATTGGCAAAAATGGCTGCCATTTGTTGACTGTTTTGCAGCACGTTATTAGACACAACTACAAAACTACATCATTATTGCTGAACTTTTGGCCAAATTACTAAATTAATTTCAAAAGTATGCAGTCACTAACAAATTATTTGAAAATAAATGTTACTTACATAAAATATTGGAATGCAGTGTATTGAATGAGTGTATCCAGATGTTCATTACATGAGATCATATTAAATGTGACCCCTTGTTGTAAGAATCTTGCTTGTTCATCAAACACATGAAATTGGATTAACTTCTAATGTTTGTATAATCATATAATATTGCTAAATTAGAAAAAAAAAATTTGAATTTATCTGATATATTATTTGATTATTGCAGTGATAAACAATTTTAGCTCTTATTCTGTCTAAAATCAATTTTTCCATTGACAGGAATGCCTGAACCATCCTTTGAGTTCATTTGGCCTGCAAAGTACATCCCTGAACAAAAGAAATGGCCACACAAAAAGCCCTTCAACAGGTAAGTAGTTATTGAAAGTATATTACCATATAGTAATGTCTGCTTATAATAATTAAATTTCCAGATATTTTGCTTTGAGTGATTAAAAACAAAATACAAGTGTTGTTCATGACAAGTAGACATAACTTTGATAGATTTAATTTTCTTTACTTTCTGAAAGAAAATAAAAACTTAGCTTTCAAATACAGTTCCTAAGAAAAAAGGATTTGACTGTCCTATTAATTTGAATTATATCCCAGGAATAAGTTTTTCAATTTAATCTGACATATTTGAGACTAATAACACTTGGACCAAAACCTAAGTTCACTAAAAGAGTATTAAAATGAATTTTTGAAAATTAATGTACTTATTGATGAAAATACTTTACATGCATTGTTGACTTTACAGAATACCTAGTCTTTATTCAGTCTTCAAATATAAAGACAAAGTATTTCAATTGTCTAAAATCTCAAGAGAGTTTGAAACCTTTTCTATCTTGTTTCCTTTCAGATATTTGGATAGATACAAAGATGTGAAAGAAATCCAGGAAGAAGTGTTGAAAGAGAAACTAAAAAGGACCTCTCCTTTCAAGGGACCAACTCCACAGCCTAAATATCCTAACATTTATCGTATCCCAATGTCTAAGCCAAAATGGCTACGGACAAAAATAGAAAAAATGCGTCTTGGAGAAGAACAATGGAAAGATTTATATCAATGAAAGTGTCATGTAGAATGCATTTCAGGATTCTAAAAAATTGTTTGATAAAATAAAAATTCTAAGTTAAACATATTGTCTTCATTTTATTTTTTTAAATGTTTGAGAAAAAAGTAACCAAATGTTTAAGAAACCATTTCTAAATTCAAATAGGAAAAAGAATTTCTCACAAAATCTTGAAATATATATGAATGGGTCCTGAAAAGTTCTTGGCCCAAACAACTTTTTATGGGTTTGTTTGATTGAACTTAGCAATATTTTTCTTTCTTGCATAAAAGTTGTTAAACTTGAAGACAAGATATCTTTATTTTGTTTATCAACATAGGAAAAATTATTCATCCTAAAATGGATGCTGCCATGTAAGTCTAAAGTTCAAAGATTTAAAATTTTTGAAAAGATAATTGTATAAACTGAGCATTTATTATCTTCATTGTTGTAATCTACCTTCTTTTTTTTTTTTTGTAGTCTTAATATTTATGCTGAATTCTGATCAGTGATCACATGTATTGTACCTTGGCGGTCATAGCTCTCCATAACTTCCTATCCTTTGTAGCTCTTAGCAATGTTTGACTTATTATCCCTCCCTCCAATTTTGCCATACTCCTTTCTGGTCTTCAATAGATCCTATGAGTGCCAAATTTTTCAAGTCTTCTTTCCTCATATGTCCTAGAGATTTTAAATGTCTCTGATTCAAAGTATAAGCATCCTTAAAAGTTCCTCGTTACTCACATACTCCATCCATGGCATTCTCAGCATCTTTCTCTCTTCTCCATTTACGAGGTAATCATACAATATTCACTGACATATAGGAAGACTGATATTTTAAAGCTGTTTAAACTCCTGTTTCTCAATACTTTGCTTAGCTTTTGGGAGACACCTTTTGCTATTCTGATGTGCTATCAGATTTCAGTGTTACTTACATAGATGAACTTTTACAAATGAATCATAAAACAGAATAACTTATTCTATGAAAATCAATGTTATGCTTTTTCAGTTCATGAAATTTTATAAAAAAATGACTTCAAATCACTTTCAGGGCTTCATCTGTAGGAAGTTTGGTGAACAGGCTTACTACCCAATTTTTATTAATGGGAGCCCCTTGTTAGTTTCACTAAACGTTCTGAGTTTCTGACATAGGATGAAAACTTCCGTTAGTGGGTTAACTATATCCACTAGGAATCTGCTCAGTGGGTGGCATAGTGAACCCCTGTAACTGACAAGTCTCAATAGAATACCAGTTTTGTGAATCTTGGATGCCATACATGTGTGGCAGCTTGGTGTAATGTCGAGTCAGCTGTCTATACTTATTTAGTGCAAAGTGGTCTTTGATCTTATTTAGGATCTGTGACCGTTTCCTCTTGGTTTTTAGGGTTAAATCCTTTTTCACTTTGCTTTAGCAGCCATCCTCAACTAGGTTTGCCAAATTTTGAAGTATTCTAACTTGTTCAACACTACTGAAGCTAGGCTATGAGGATCTCTTTAGAATGCCTAGCATAGAAATAAATTCAATTTGGTAGCCATTAATAAAGAAAGACAAAAGCCAGTAAGTCTTCTACTACAGCAACAAAAACATGACAGCAGCAATTGCAATCTAATCAGCAGGCTGGTTAGTTTTAAGGCTCTAAGTTCATTGCAGAAAATTGTCCTACAGGATAATTGCCTCGGATGAAAGCATTGGTTTACGAATTTGGTTACATAGTGGTTGTGTGTTCAATCTCTGGGTCAGGCAGTATAATATTAGAAATAACTAGATATTTCTAGACATGGGCAGTGGAACAAGAACAGTCTACAGTCAGATTTAATAGAGTTCAGTTCAGAATTCCCCAGTGTATATACACCTGAGGAAAACCAGAGGGCATAACAAAAACGAGGACAATAGTTTGAATATAAATGGTGTAAATAAGAACTTATCCCAGAAATTCAGGAAAAAGAAAAAAAAAAAAATCTATTTTATAAGTATATATACCTTTTCTCTTTCATCTGTTAAAATACTTTCCAGATATTTAAGTTTTCATACACAATAACATTTTGTCAATATATATTAATAAAAAAAAATTATAATCTGTTTTCAGTGTTATAAGATTTTTAATAAGTTTTAAAGACTATTTCCAGGATAAATAAATTTTATAATTAATAAGCTACAATCTAGAAACATTAGAAGAAGTTGGGAAAGGAGGAATGAAGAGTAAATTAATCAAGGAAAAGTGATTTGAATACAGCATTAAAAATTTTCCTAATTTGGGCTTGGTCTAATACCGATGAAATACAGAGATAGCAATAGTTAGAATTATGCAAAAATTTGATGGAAGGAAGAGAGAATAATTTTTACATAAAAAAAAAAAAAAAAAAATTATTTCTCCTTAAATGAATTAATCTGATGTTTGTATTTTTAAAAATGCAGTAGCTGTTAAAAACCTGGTCTGTTGCATCTAAAATTATTTGGGGGATGTACATAAATTTATCAAATGTTAGCATGAAAACACTCTTAAAAGGTAAAATTTTACCTTGTCACTTTAAAGTGAATAATGTACCTGTAAATTAAACAGTGTTTTTTGAGAAAAAAAAACAACAACATTTATATGATGCATACCTTTATTTCAAACATGCTTCAGTTGTTAAACACTTAGTAAAAATAGATAAATTAATGTAATGTTTTTTTGTTATTTTTATTTTTTTTTTTTTAGTGAAGAGAAGAAAACAAGACACCCGGTAGCAAAGGCCACAAGTTTTTAAACACTTCTGGCTCAGAAATAAAAATAAAAAACTTTTTTTTTTTTTTTTAGACTTTAATTTGTGTGTGTGTGTGTGTGTGTGTGTACATATATATATGTATATGAAATAGTAGAAAAAAAATTAAGCATTTGTAGCAGGATGAAAATGTAGATGTTAAATATACAAACGTTTTGTCTTCATTGTTTGGCAGATGAAATGGTTGGCATTAAGTGACATTATATTTCCTTTATTAGAGGTTCTCAATAACTGATATTATTTTTGCATTTTTGACAGATCCTCTCCTCAGGCAAACTGGTAATGTTCTAATTCTATAAATTATTATTATTAATAATTATATAGTTATTAATATATTCACATGAAACTTGGGATTATTTTTATGGCTAAAAATGGAAATTCAATTTCAGCCTATATAAATTGTAAATTATGATGCTAATAGTCCCTGGTGTGAAATAAATTCAAAATAATTGCCTAACAGAGTAGACCAATTTAAAAATCTAAGTTGTGCACACTATATTTTTTTTTTATGGTTAAGGGTTTAGTATTCATAATCAAGGCTTCAAGAGAAGTTTCAGACTTATTTTTACATTTTAAAGGCTCATGTATTAAGCTAGGAAAATTTATAATACTTGTATAATGCAAATTTTAGAAATTCTAAACTTATAGAAAAAAATTCTTTATTTTTAATAGTTCTTTTTATTTTGCTGACAAGCAACCTGAAACTGATCAAATATTTTGCACTGACCAAACAAGTGAGAACACTTGGTTCAATGAAATTGGAACATTGATAAGCTGTAGACAAGTATTTCTAACACTTGAATATGATTTACAAGTATGTGAATGTGCCATTACAAGTTCTGGAAGAACAGTTATTTTTCTTGAAATCAAACAAAATTTTATCAATATTAATTTTGTAGATGAACCTTTTATCAATTGAATCTTCAAAGATTAATTTTTACAATAAAAACCAAAGGTATGCTTTATCATTTCATAGAATTTTGAAAAAGAAAATACTATCATATACTTTATAAGTAGCATACCTTTTTCTATAATTAGAATTCTATTAACTTAAAAAATGATTTACCTTAATATTCCAGAAGGCAACTATGTTCGTGCCCACCTTCCCTGCCTCAGTTTGAGAACCCCAGATTGAAAGAGAATAGTATAAATAACGTTTGTATGGTTATTATATGTATAGTTAGATTATGAAGAATTAATTTTCATTTAGAAAGGTAACAGTTATTTTTCCACATATGCAAAGGAGATTTGGAGGGAGAAAAATCATCTTTTAAAAGTTATTATTTTTGCTATCTAAAATATTCATAGAAAGAAGTAATTTTAAATTTTGCTGAATTATTTTGTTTAAAAATAAAAAACATTCCAGATATGACTTATTTGTATTTCACTAAGGACTAAACATGTTTGAAAGCATGAATTTTTTTTTTGTTTTTACATATTTTCATATTCATCTTTTTTCCAGAGTAATTGTATTTATCACCAACTGTAATTAACTACAAACAAAATTTAAAAAAAAAAAAATGAAAAATAGAAGTTACCTCCAATATCTAAACTTGCAGCTTCAATAATATATCAGAAGTTTAAAGTAGCTTTCTACTGTCAACATTTAAATATAATAAGGAAACCTACAATAATTTGGCAATTATTAAAAAAGAATTTCAGTTGTTATTTGCATTGAATGTTAAAAGCCAATTTAATGTTTTAATCTGAATTAATAGATATTGAATTAGAAAAGAATTTAATGATTAAAACTTTTCTCAAAGTTAAAATATTAACTTCAAAAGTAACTGAACTGAGCAAAGCTTGTGATTTTGGAAATAATGGTCATAATTGTATGATGCAATTTTTAAAATGTCTTTAAATCAGAAGATAAAAGAAATTACTTGGTGAAAAATGTTTACACATGATGAATAAAAACTTGTAATGTGGAGTTTAAAAAATGTAAGTTTCTGAACAGATGAGAAAACTATAAAAATATATATAAATAAGTATATGTATATAGGTACGGAACATTTCCCTCCAAGAAAATCTTACTCAAGTTTCAAGAGTAGAAAAACAAGTGATTTTAAATAACTTTTTATATTCATATTAAGTCATTGAGGTATTCTGCGATGTCCATTATTATAATATATATGTGTATATGTGAGAAAACATAACATTTAAAATAGGGACAGTCAGATTTCTCTTTATGCCATACTGAAAAAAAAAAAAAGTCTTTTTGACCCTCCTAGTTTGGATCAAATATAATAGAATAT